AAAGTTTCTAACCCTAGATGGCCCACCTCTAAAACGGGGTGATGATATCCTCACTTCAACAGGCCCCCTCATACCCTCTTTCTCCTGCTTCCACTTCCTCCCTTCCTCCCATTAACATTATATAAATACCACTATCCTTCAAACATCCCCCTATAGCAGTTGCTCAATAAAAGTTGTACTTCCTTGAAACGCTTCATTCCCCATTCCTGATGTCTAGAGCCTGCTTGCTGGACTGACCAACACTCTGCTCCATGACTCTGCTTTGGCAGAGCCACCCCTGGGCTTGGCTGCAGTCTGAGCTTGGAATTTGAGATCCAAATTCCCCTTTGTGCTGAGTTAGCTCCAAAGCAGAGAACTTGGGTAGCCCAGACCAGTAGGTAAGGCTTGGCCTGGATGTCGGGAGACTGGGCTCTGGGTTGTCCTGTGGGAGCCCTAGGAGACCAAGGAGTAGTCACAGGGCACTGCCCATTGGCTCAGACAGAGCCTGGGCTCCCTGGGGGAGGAGTAGGAGTGTGTTTAACTGTACCGAGGGAGCCCCGCTGGTTCTCTCTGCTTCCGCCTGACTGTGAGTATCAGCTCTGGGGGGCAGCCCAGAGGGGCGGCGAGGGCCGAGCAGAGGCTCTTGCCAGGGAGGTGATGGTGGGAGTGGGGCACGAGCAAAGCAGGAACAAGGAAGGAGGGCAACTTGGCCTCACATCCTGGGTGTCAACCCCTCTCTCTGGACGATCATGCCACAAACCCCAGTTCATACCAATGTCCCCTTCTCCCCAGCTCCAGGTCTTCTCAGAAGGCAATCCTATTTTAAGCCTAAATTATTTCCCTTCTTTTTGAAACTGAGTCTCATCAGTGGTGGAATATTAGCAAAAGTTTAGTTCATCCTCTTGTTTCTACTCTCCCATCTTGTTTTTCTTCTAATGTCCTTCCATGGGAATTTCATCAAGCCCAGGTGTCCCCTTTGAGGTGTGGTGACAGTGAGAGGGACCTTGGAGTGCTAATCCCACCTCCACCCATTCTCGGCTTTATGTCATTAGGCTATTTGCACCCCACTTTCTTTTGCTCTGGCTGACCTTGAACTTCGACTATCAGATTAGACATCCTCTCCTCTGAGGAGTCTTTCCAGTCCCAGACGCTGGGTTAGAGATCTCCCCTGGGCTCCACAGGACTCTGGTCCTCCCCATTGGACTCCAAGCATTTTGGGCACCAAAACCACATCTAACGTACTCATGAAGTCCCAGTGCCTAGCAGAGTGACTAGTACATAGATGTGAAAAAATATGTTGCATGAACAAATGAATGAACAAATACATGATGACTTCATATGTCTGACTCTCAGTTGTAATGCCTGCCTCATAGAAATACATGGCTACCTAAGAGAGGGAAACTGTAGATGAAAGTACTTAACAGAGCCCAGACCATGGTAGGCTCTCCAAAAAATTAGTTTTCCTTCTGCTCCTTCCTATCAAAACAACTCCAAGAAGACAGTTCTTTCTCAAGAGTAAACAGAAGACAGAGCTTGGACCACAGTGATGACATTACATAATGAGATGTCAGATCTAGGTAAAACCACCCATTCATGGAACCGATGGTCTAAGATGGAGCAGTGAGCAACTTGTAGAGCTGTGTAGAGTGAGGGCATTAGTAACAGGGAAGGAGCCAAACAAGATGACCTCTACAGTCCTCTGCTATACATGGCTTTGAGTTCTATGTTTTGCTCAGTCACAGAAGGTGATGAAAGTCGCTGCCATCAGCCCTGGGGCTGGTCATGTAAGGATCATGGCTACCACCACTTCAGATACTGGGAAGTTGGCAGTCCCCCTCTTTCTTTTAAGCCTCTTGATAGTAAGCGGAAAATCTTCTCTCTCTGACAGCCTACATTTCTGAGGCCCTAATCCTCCATCTTCTGAGATTTTAATGTCAGTGAGGCAACTGCCCAGTGGTGAGTAGGGTCTGAGCAGTGAGGCGAGGCACCATGTTTTGTTATCGGATTCAGTCTGTGGCAGAACCACTCCTCCAGAAGAGGGTGTGTTTCTGGATCCCAGTGTGTGTCACTCAGTGTTTTAGTGAGTGTATATACAGTTTCACACATGGCCCAAAGGACTATGGTTCTTACTCCATAGAGTGAGTTGAGATGAGCAAATGCAACATGACTCAAAATATCACCAGCTTACAGATTCATACTTTAGGTTAAGATATTTAATTGCTATATCAAGATGCAAATCTCCCTGTAAGAGTCTATGCTAATAAATTTAAAATTCTTTATGAAATGGGCAAGTTACCAGATATATGTAATTTTCCAAGTTTATTTAAAATTTGAGTAGATAAATTGCCATGCGATATCAGAAAATATTACCAAATAATCACCCAACAAAGGTCTGTGTGCAGGTTGTTTTATTGGTGAGTTTTATCCCAAACTTTCAAGGGATAAATAATTACTGTGCTATAAAAACTATTATAGAAAATAGAACGTAAAGAGGAAATTGAGTTGATTCATTACAAAACTAGCAAAGCTGTGATACCAAAATCTCATAAAGATAGTTCCAAAAGAGAAATCTATAGATCTATTCTCAAAAGATAGTAGCAAATCAATTTCAGCAGAATTTAAAAGTATAAACACTATGTAATATATCTACTTGTCAACAGGTGAAATTTTAAAAGTATTAGCTCATTATAGATGATGCCAAAAAGGCATTTGGAGACATTAAACACAAGTTCCTGGTTTTTTCCTTATTAAAAACTAGAAATAGGAGGATACTTCATTAACATGAAAAGAATATCTATTTCAATCCAACAAGTAACAAAAGTTCTAATAAAACTGAGAAAAAAAACTAAATATACATTTTTCTTACTACTTTTTAACATTGTTTTGGAAGTTCTGGTTTATGAAATGAGATATAAGTTAGAAACAAGAGTCCAGTTATTGTTTTTTAAAGAAAAAAAAGATAAGGTAATTCTCCCTTGAATACCCAATAAAATCAACTGAAAATTTTTTCTGTTAATAAGGGAATTTTAAAAGTGGCAGTATATAAGGTAAATGTACAAAATCAATAACTTCCCTATAAGATTGTTGCCAATTCAAAATATATAGAAAATTATTGTATTTTCAATGATAACAAATAGCAAAACACCTAGGACTAAACAAGAAATGTGGGAGATCTAGTCATTATTCAACAAATACTTATTGAGCGCCTCCTATGTGTCAGGTTTTGTACTAGGTTCCTGATATATAAATGTAAGCAAAGTGGATATAGTGCCTGCTGTCACAGACCTAAACAAAGAAAATTAAGAAACTGCTGAAAGATATAAATCAAGACTTGAAAACTTGGAAAACTATACTTTGATACCGGATGGAAAGACTGAATATTGTCAAGATGTCAATCCTCCACAGATTAATTCATAGGTTTAATAAAATCCCTATCTTTAAAAATCACGATGGAATTATTTTTGAAAATTGTCAAAATTATTCTAAAGGTTAGAACAAAACTTGAGCATAACAAAAAAAATTTTAAGCAAAGTGTTTGTAGAGATGTTTCATTAGAATTAAAATAAGTGATGAAACTATATTGATTAAAATAAGAGTCTCATAACTCAATAACAAAAGACAACTCAATTGAAAATGGGTTATTCTACATGAACAGAAAATTCAGAGAACATGTAAATTAAAATGAGATAGTATTTTTCAACCACAAAATAACTAAAATGATAAAGGATTTGAATATACATTTCTCAAAAAAATATGCAAATTGCCAATACACACATGAAAATATGCTCAACATCATGAGCCCTCAAAAAAACACAAATCAAAACTACTAGAATGGCTAGAATTGAAAAAACAAACCATAAATGCTGGCAAGGATGTGGAGAAATTGGAACCTCATAAATCGCTGGTGGGAATATAAAATGGTACAGCTGCTTTGGAAAATAATCTCATAGTTTCTCAAAAAGTTAAACATAGAATTCCTATATACCCAGAAATTCTACTCCTCGGTATATACTCAAGAATAATGAAAAGATATGTTCACACAAAAACTTGCATATGAGTATTCAGAGCAGCATTATTCATAATAGCCAAAGACTGGAAACAACTCAAATGTCCATCAGCTGATAAGTGGATCAATAAAATGTGGTATATCTATACAATGGAATAGTATTCAGCCATTAAAAAGGAATGGCATACTGATTTATGCTATAGCATGAATGAACCTTAAAAATATTCTGCTAAGTGAAAGAAACCAGCCATGAAAGACCACATATTGCATGATTCTGTTTATATGAAGTCTCCAAAGCAGGCAAACTCACTGACACAGTTTTATTTATATAGGGATTGGAGAGATGAGGAGTAAATATGAATGAAACAGGGTTTTTCTATTTGGGGTGATAACAATATTGATTGTGGTGATGGTTGCATGACTCTGTAAATTTACTAAAACACCACTGAATTGTACACTTTAAATGGGTAAGTGGTATGGTATGTGAATTATATCTCAATAGAGCGCTTATTTTTAAAATAATGTTATATTGGCACAAGAACAAGAGAACATCACTACCTATAAAACAACCCCAATATAAGAATTTAATCTAGGATAAAGATAGTAACACAAAGCAGTGGAGAAAATGGAACGAGAACAATTATTTATCTATTGAGGACAAAATATCAAGTTAGATTATCATCTCATGTCACATATCAAATTGTATTTCATGTGGCTCAAAACTTAATATAAAATTAGGTCATATTTTAAAGAACAAAATATAGTATACTATCTTTTTGATCTTTGAATAAGGGAAGACTTGCTAAGCTTGAAACCGAAAAAAGAACTCACAAAAAGAAGTGTCAATAGATTTAATATTATATATTTAAAACTCTTAGATTTAATAACATCATAAACAAAATAAAACTGCTAACAAATTTTTGAAAAAATCTGATTAAATAAATAAAAAAGGGATAATGGTTTTAATATTTAAATTGCTAAGAGAACACTTAATCCCTAGTAGTACATGGGCAAAGTACATAAACAGCAAATTCAAAGAACATGCAAATTAAAATGAGATGGTATTTTTCAGCTGTAAAATAACTAAAATAATTTTAATTATGATAATTTAATACTAGTACCAGTGATTCTGTGACAAGATTGATACAACTTTCTTAGAAATCTACTTGGCACTCAAAACTGTTCATATCATCTGGCCCAAGAATTCTACATCCCAAATCTACCCTGAGAGATTTATTTGAAATGTAGAAAAAGATTTAGAGATGCATCTCTCATTAAATTATAACCCTTAACTTCTCCTATTTTCTCTAGGAATCTTGGAGACTCATGAAGTTCAAAGCCTGATAAAGCAGGAGCAGGTCCTGGTAGGGGCCAAGGTACAGAAACCAGGCCTCCTGCTCCCCATATCTTCCCAGAGCCACCCTGCTTCCCAGGGACAATGTCAGCATGGAGCAATGGCAGCTCCAATGTGTCCTACACCAGCTTCCTCCTGGTGGGCTTCCCAGGGCTACAAGAGTCCCGCACCCTCCTGGTGCTGCCCTTCCTCATTCTCTACCTAGTAATCATTTTCACCAATGCCATGGTCATCCACACGGTGGTGGCCCAGCGGAGCCTGCACCAGCCCATGTACCTGCTCATTGCCCTGCTCCTGGCTGTCAGCATCTGTGCTGCTACCACTGTGGTTCCCACCATGTTGTTCAGCTTCTCCACTCACTTCAACCGCATCTCCCTGGCTCGCTGTCTGGTCCAGATGTTCTGTATCTACTTCCTCATTGTCTTTGACTGCAACATCCTTCTGGTCATGGCTCTGGACCGCTATGTAGCCATCTGCTACCCACTCCGCTACCCGGAGGTAGTGACAGGCCAGTTGCTGGCTGGCCTTGTGGGAGTGGCAGTTGCCAGGAGCACAGGCATTGTTGTTCCAGTGGTGGGGCTGGCCTCCCAGGTTCATTTCTGTCGCTCAAACGTGATCCACCACTTTGCCTGTGAGCACATGGCCCTGATGAAGCTCTCTTGTGGGGACATCTCCCTAAATAAGACTGTGGGGCTCACTGTCCGCATAGTCAACAGAGTCCTGGACATGCTGCTACTTGGAGCCTCCTATTCCCGCATCATCCATGCTGCATTTCAAATTTCATCAGGCAGAGCACGTTCCAAGGCCCTGAACACCTGTGGCTCCCACCTGCTAGTCATCTTCACCATCTACTCCTCCACCATATCTTCATCCATCATCTACCGTGTAGCCCGCACTGCCTCCCAGGACGTGCACAACTTGCTCAGCGCCTTCTACCTGCTGCTCCCATGTCTGGTCAACCCCATCATCTACGGGGCCAGGACCAAGGAAATCAGGCAGCATCTGGCAATTCTGTTCCAACGGGCACAGCTGCAGATACCCACTGAGAAGCCCCAGTCTTTGCCCTCACACAGGGAAATTCCTGCCTGATTCTCTAGAACTCGTAAGTCCTATAATCACTCTTACTGTCAAGTGGGTAAATGTGCAGGCTAGTCATCCCTGCTATATTTTGGCTTTGGCTATCTGCATTCATCTTTGGGTCTTTTACCCATTTTCTGAAGAATATCTACTCATCCAGAGTTATACAGTAACCAGCTGCGAAGTCAGCTTATGTCTCTGGCTTCTAAATTTTCTCCTCTTCTTTCTGCATGTGATTTTCATTCATGCATTCATTGTCATTCATTCATCAAACATTTATTATACATCATGCTAAACCTATGATTGCAAAAAAAGATTTGATCTCTACTCTGAAGGAGGTCCCAATCTAGCAAGCTGTACGACGTATAATGCTCAATAATAGATTTAAGTACAAAATTCTGTGAGAACATAGAGGATAATCTATGAATGATAATCACTAACACAGAACACTTCACATAGAAGGTGAATTTGAGTTGTGTTTGAAGGATAAAATCAAGTGTTTACTGGAGAGGAAGAAGACAGAAGAAAAGCCATTCTAGGATAAAGAACAGCATGGGCAATAAGTGATACAGAAATTGGTACCAGGAGTGGGGTGCTGTATAAAAATCTAAAATATATGACATTGGCTTTGAGATTGACCCGGTCACCCAGCCTGTCTTCAGTAAAGAATACTGTTAGGTCACCTTAGCCAGAATCCCATTCCCCCTCATATTTCCTCTTCATGATATTGCATTCATTGACCCCTACCCTGTTCCTTGGCTATAAAGTCCCACTTGCCAATGCTGTTGGTGGAGTTGAGGACAGTTCTATAGTGAGATCGCTTTTCTCCTATTGCACCAATCCTGAATAAAATCTGTTTTTACCTCTTTACTGTCCAGCTCTGCTTTTGCTTGTGCTCTTGCATTTCTACCATAACCACGAGAACGTGCTTGGGCTAGCCTGCTGGTGAAACAAAAGATACATTTATTTAGGAAAGCTGAGTTGTCTCCGCCAGTGCCATCAGATGTTAATCTAGATAAGCTGATAGCTAGCCAACCCCTAAATATGTGAGCAAGCCCAAGCAGAGTCAGCAGAACCACCTAGCTGACAAACTCAAATGTGTGAATACTTACAATAAATGCCAGAGTTTCTGCAGCTCTTTGCTATGCAGCAATTTTGTGACAGAGAGGTGACAAAATGACAAACCAATGGTTTATACACAGTACATCTTCTTCATCACAATGCTTTAATATATATTAGATAAATGTCTTTTTAACTGCTTGACAATGAATTCTATAATGGTAGAAACTAAAGATATCAGTGAGAAAAAGATAGTGAGATAACATTATTTTCTTAATAGTAAAGGTCATTGTTTATTAGAGAAAATGCACTGACAAGTGCTTGAAGGTAGAAGGTATTTACACTGAGGGGATAATCTCCATTCTAAAGTATCACTCTCCAATAAGAAATCAGGGATGCTAGGGGAAATGACTGATTCTAGGGATGTGATGTGAAAAATACAAGATAATCCCGGATTATCTTATAGTGTCACAGAGTAAAAAAGGGCTCAAAAAATGATAGGGGGCGAGATCTTTGGAAACTTTGGCAGAGTGAGAGATGTCCCCAGATCTCTCCCCTTGAAACAACCAATAAACTGAACATCTAAAACTCAACAAAACACACCCAAACTGCACACCAGCATGTCTGAGTGTGGGATCTGCCCAGAAGAGCTACCACAGATCAGAATCCCGGGTGTCGGGCAGTGGACTAGGAGAAATAAAGCTGCCTCCCACAACTGCCGGAGCTACCTGTAGGAGAAGGGGGTGGGGAGAAGGAGCAGCAAGTTCCCTGAACAGCCATGACTGGGAAAACTGTGACTTCCCCGTGGCCTGCCGATAGCAAGGCCATCATCAGGGCAGAAGGCAGAGAAGCAGGACGGCAGAAAAACAACAGTTGATTTTCACTGACCACAGTTGCAAAACTGAGGCTGAGCCACAGCCCCCAACCCCCAACCCCCAACCCAGAGAGCCTCTCCTCCCATACCCTCTGAGACTGATCACCACAGAGCCCCATTATTAGAATGGGAATCTGAGCAAACACTACCAAAACTGTTGCTAACACTGACAGGGACTGAAACTGAGGGTAGCGAGCGGGACTAAATATCTATCGGAAAATAAATAGGCATTTTTAAAGCTTTATATAAAGCAGGGATCCAGGTAGCGAGCTAAATATCTATCGGAAAATAAATAGGCATTTTTAAAGCTTTATATAAAGCAGGGATCCAAGAGGCTTAGATGCCTCCTACTGGAAACCAAACCAAAAGTGCCTTCTTTGCAGCAGGCTAAAGAGAGATCTTTATATAATAAATCTTCTTTCTGGAAAAAAAAATCAGAATACACTTCCATTAATGCCCAGGTGGAGAAATAGTCCACTAAACACCATGAACAACCAAGGTGACAAGGCATCTCAGAAAGAAAGAGAAAAATATCCAGAAAATAAGCTTACAGACATAGCAATATGCAACTTAAATGACAGAGAATTCAGGATGGTACTTCTGAAAAACTCAACAAGATCAAAACGAGTCATATCAAAAATTTCAAGAATTGAAAAAACAACTAGATCAGCAGAATGAGTTCTTTAGCAAGGAGATTGAAACCCTTGAAAAGAACTGAATAGACCTTCTGGAGATAAAGAACACACTGTAAGAGTTGAAAAATGAAATAGCAAGCTTGGGAAATAGAGTCGAACAAATGGAGGAAAGGATCGGTGAAATCAAAGACAGAAATCTAGAAATAAATCAGAAGGAAGAAGAGAAAAAACAAAGAATTAAAAATAATGAAAGAGAAATATAAGAACTAGCTGATACCATCAGGAGAGGAAACATAAGAATAATGGGCATTTAGTTATATAAATGTCTAATCAA